AAAAGTTAATTTAGATTATTCTTTATTTAATATAAAAAAATTATAAAGATTAGTTAAAATTTGAATGATTTTTATTAGAAGTAATTATTAATTTTTATATTGATATATCAATCTTCTTGCAATAGTTTATAATATAAAATAAATATTAATTAAAAATTTATTAATCTTATAATTATATAATAATTTATTAATTAAAATTTATATTATTAATAAAAAATTATAAGTTATATAAAAAATTAACTACTATAAACTCTCAAATTTAAGCAACTCTTGAGAATAAGTAATTTCTCTCTTCAAGTTCAAAAATCTTAAAAAAGTTAAATAAGTAATCTCTTTATCAAAAACTATTATATAATAGATTAATACAAAATTTGTAATATAAAAGTTTGAATTTGGAAAAATAGGATATTTGAAATTTTTTACATTGATCAATTCAATCTGCATAATATTACAATACATAATTTAATATTGCACACAAGAACTCTCAAATTTAAGTAACTTTCATAAAAAATTGATCAAAAAATAATGATATAGAGAGTTGCTTAAATTCAAGAGTCTATAATAATCAAAATTAAAAATTAATAAAAATTTATAATTAAATATAAATATAATATAGTAAAATTTTAATTTTTATCAAAATTATATTAATATTAAGTATTAATTACTTGAGAAATTATATATATATATAATATATTATATATTATATATTATATATTATATAAATTTATATAAATAATAAAATAAATATTTTAAAATTTTTCTTTATTAAATAATAAGAGAATAAAGATAATAAAACTTTTTAAAAAGATTAAATAAAATAAAATAAAATAAAATAATAAAGTAAATAATTTTCTCTTACTTCTTTAATAATAATATAACTCTTAAAAATCAAAAAAAATATAATTCTTAATATATAAATAAAGTAAATCTACTATAATAAAAGTTAAAAAGAGAAAAAAATAACTTAATTATATTAAAATAATAATTATTTTAATTGATTAATCATAGTTTAAGAATAAATAATAAAGAAAATAATTCTTTTTATATTTTTTATTTTTTAAAAGAGAAAAATAATACTTGAATTAATAGTTAAAAAAACTAAGTAAAATGTAATGTAGATCTAGAAACTTAATAAATATTATATAATTTGAAATTACATAAATATTATTTTCATGTTCAGATACTTGATTTATTAATAATATTCTTGTTTTTTATTTATTTTTTTAATAAATTTTATTAAATAAATATTTTATATATTCTGAATTAATTAAATATTAAAAAACTATTTTTTAGGTTTACAAAAACTATCAGAAATCTTACAAATTTATTTATAAACTTAAAAAATAAGATCATAAATATATTAGAAAAATATTAAGAAATTTTTCATTTTCTTAATTAATAATATTTCTTTATTATAAAAAAGATCTCAAAAATATTAATTTTTAGTGAATTATTATAAATTAAAGTAAAATGTTGTTCATGATAGAGAAATCTTAATAATTACATTTCCGCAAGTTCAATAAATTGTTCCAGGATCTTTATCATCAACTGTTCATGGTCATCATGAGGGACATGAAAGAGCTGTTCGATTAATCGGATAAAGTGTAAAAAAATAATATTTCAACCATATTGAACACAAATTTAAATAGCATATAATAAATAGCTAACCAATACATACCTTTAATTTGCCATCATTTGAAACGTAAAATGAATTCAAACCTACTTTGATCAACACAATCAATGAAAGCTTTAAGTGAAGTGATCGAAACAAATGGTCTTCTATTTCCTCTAAAATTCCCGATATTTCTATTCGTACATGCACGCGAAATTTAATTAATTAGAAGATTCAGTGACCACTTATAATATAAACAGAATTCAAACACAAACTGAACCTTGCGATCCTGTATGATTCATCTTTCTTTTTTTTCACATGTAGGAAGAATACGAAAATCACGTCAGTAATACGTACATGACACAATTTAATTAATCTAGCTTTATTTAATACCCTTGACATATTCGTTTCACATCTTCAAATGATAGAGAAACGGTAAGGTTGTTGATATCATCAATGTTGGGAATTTTGTAAGTAAGCTCGATTGATTTGGATATTTTGCAAAAATCTAAGGTTGATATATTAACTTATTATTAATTCTTTTTGAATTTGACATGAATAATACTTTATTTACCATCTTCAATACTATCCAAATTAGAGAACATTAATTTTGACCAAATTTCTACAAATTGTCGTAGATGATACGGTTGAATAATGAATCGACACACGCGACAATCAAAACGTGATTGAAACCATTCAAAGAATATCTCTGTGGTGCTTTGTAACGCTTTAACCAATAAAAGCGGATACTTTGTGAACTCTGCTAGAGTATAAATGACAAAACAATAACAATATCAGATTAAACAAAGAAAATTATCGGGATTTGATAAAATAAATATTTGTGCACACACATATAAGTACTCACAATTGGACAAAGAGACTTCATTCTGAATACTTGGCAAGATTACAATTAGAGATTCTTGTTCTTTTCTCCGTCCTTATTATATATTTTATCAAACATCAGTAACGTATCATGGCGTGTAAAAGATCTGCTGAGAAGACTTCTTTACCATTAGATTTGAATAGAATCTTCACCCCTAACGGTTTATTAAGAGCTCCTGCCAAAACAGGTTTATAATATCAATCAATCAATCAACACATATATCTGTTATCCATATTTTATTAATGCCTCACCTGACCATCCAGTCAAATTAATCCACGAAATTTTTACCTCCTCAATTTTGCCACCGTTAAACTCTTTGAATTCATCTTGTTCATCATTATCACATCCTATTGTTGTTTCTTTTGATAACATATATTCTTTCAACTCGTTGGTGTAATTTTTGATTTTCCCATTATTAAAATTGTAAAGTGGCGTGCAATGATATAATGTGTATGATTTATTGAGTAACAAGTCTAAAATGACGACCCATGTTATAATAGAAAATTCTCGAGGCATTATTATGGATTCTTCTCTAACCTACTTATATTCCAAGGAGGTTCTTGTTCAGCTATAACACTATTATTGCTTTCTGCAAAGGAAAGGTCTTCTATAGATTCCATGAAATCAACTATTGCTGGGCACGGCTAGCAAATTTCCGTATTTAGAACGCGTTCTAACGATATTACGCGCGTAAATTTCACATACTGAGATTGAATAAAATCACGGGAAAAGTTAAATCACCCAATCATTTATAAGAATTAGTTGTATCGAGAACACTAATGCAAAATTTTGCAAGGAATAGAGCATCAAACTCTTTCCGATCAATCAATTATAACAAGATCATATATCATGTGAGCACGAATCTCAAAATGGCACGTTGCAAAATTTATATTTTGAAGTTCTAATTTTTATCATTAATCCTAATTATGACATGACTTTATACAAAATGTGATGAGATCTATTATAATAGGGGATAATTACGTTATGTTCAGATTTCATAAATACAGAAGAAGCGCTCATTTTCATAGACTAATATGCTATCGATTAAACCGTGAATTTGAAAGAGAATCATCAACCTATCATTTTTACGGTTTATATGTAAAGTGGGATAAAGAATGTTAGACCATTATATATATAAAAAAATTCTATATTAATACGATTAGCTTATGCCGTAATACGAAGTTGAACGAATAATTTTAAGCAATAGATTAAATAGGAACTGAATGAGAATCAAAACGAAGATCCATTAGTTATTTGGTGTTTCGCTTATCGTTAAAGCAACGACGCTATCTTCATGAGTAGTAGATGGTGGTATTGGACTACGTGATGCTGAACGTGAAGTTCTGTTATTGTTACCATTAATAGCACCATTTCGTATGCCTAATATTCTTTGGAGGGCTGAAGATGCCTGTATTTATGCCCAAAAAATAAATAATAATTATCAGCCACCATCTTAAACTAACATAACTAATTATCTAATTAATAGTATTAAGATAGTAAACAATACTTACAGCAAAGTATTTTCCTACTTCGTGATCAACCTCTGCAATTTTAGCTCGTTTTTCGGATAATTTCTCTGTTAGTCGTAATTTTCGTTCACGTTTTTCATCACGCTCCGCCTCCAACCTAAGCAAGCGATTCCATTCATCAATAATTCGTGTTAATCATTTATAAAGTATTATCGTATTTACCTTTGGCGTTCAGCCATCTCATATTTGAATCTTTGAAGCATACGATGATGCGCAAATGAATCTTCATTTTCAACACCATCTTCAGTTTTAGGGACTAAAGTATATTCCTCGGGTGCTTGTAAAACAAATTCTCTTTCATCCATTAATGGAATATTTTGATATATGAATCTAAAAATTGAAGACATATAGTTAAAAGGTTAGAAAACAAATGGTGAAGACTTAACAGTAAGAAATGTACCCGTTTCGTCTGCATTTAGCAATCTCCCGTCTTAAATATCCTTTCTCTTGCATCAAGTTTTGAAGATCTAGATTTTTATCGTCCATTTCTTGCCGTGCTTTAAGAGTATCAGTTTTATCAGCCAATCTTGTTACATGCGCTTTACGATTTAAGGTTCTTAGACGAACCATGCAATATTTGGAATCTTTGGTAAGCTCAAGGAGGTGATCCTTCGAAAACTACATATACCCATCGTTGAACAAGTCATTATCTAGGACAATACTTTGACGAATTGTCTACATTTGTTTGATCACATACTGGAATTTTTATTTTCGTCTTTTCATCTTTTTCTTCCTCTTTTATTTTTGGTGAATCAGACTTTATATGCTCCGAAAACTTTGCATTTTTTTCCTCTTGTTTCGCGTGTGGAGGCTTATCCGTACTCGTTTTCTGAGAGATTTCATTATACGTGAGCCTAACTTCCTCCATGGTTTTTGCTGACTCTGATTTTAACTTGTAAAAAATATCGGCCAGCTCGTTAAGGTACTGCAGTTCTGGAGTGAAGTTATATTGTTCGACGAATCGGTTGAAATTCGTTGGCTCGGGAATTTGTTCCATAGTTTGTTGATCGGTTTCTTCTTTGACCATGTTTATTTTTCGTATTTTCGTTTTGTAATATGACGGTAGTGTTAAAAAGTTGTTTATTTGGATCTCGTGATCAGATAACAGATTGTCGATTCTTTGAGAATGTCTTCGGTAAATATTGGTAAAAAGAACCAGATACGACGTTTAGTGGTATTTGATTTTGACTGGTATTTTTGCTTAAATTATTTTTTTTAGTAACCTTATCGAAGACTATAATTTAGTTATTGGGACTATTGTTATTATCTTTCAAATATTCAAATAAAATAGGTCAATGATTGATACCAATTCGGATGTATGGATATTCAAAAAATTGTCTTCTAAAGTATATGAAAAAATTGACCAATTAAGCGGAAAAATTCAATGGTAAAATTTTTTCACTTTTGAACATTAAAATAATTTAGACTAATCTTATTCTTTATTTCCTTTAAAACAGGACGGATTTGATGTATGTCAATTAACTACATATGATCAAAAGATTAGCTGACTAATTTATTTTATTTCAGAGATCAATTATTAGGTGAGCTACATGAAGAAGGTATCACTCGTGAACAGATTGAAGATGTTATGAGTAGAGTTCCATTTGTAAGCTCTCGTCAGTTATTTTTGGTTATTATTCTCATTGCTAAGATTAAGTCTTTCTATTATCAGAGGCATGAGATGATTGAAACCTTAAAAATAATTAAGGAAAATAATGGTGACATAATTATATTGTCAGATGCTAATACAGTATTTATCGATGTTATATTAAAGGTATTTTAGAATTAATATTGCTTTCGATGTTTTCTACATTGATAATTTAATATCTAAATACATTTTTGTTAGGCAAATAAAGTGGATCACCTTATCTCTCGAATAATTACAAATCCGGCAATTTGGGAAGATTCAGGAAGACTACGCGTTAACCGACTACACCTCGCAGAAATAGCGCCCCATGGGTGTCTTAATAAATGCGCATTGAATATCTGTAAAGGTAATTCTATATGATTTTTCTGTTCTGAATTTTTATGCACTCGATGGTAAAATTATGGATTTTTTTTGCATTAATTTATAGGTGCCGAACTAGTGAATTATCTTGCATCATTTGTTGAGCAGCAGGAAAATTACTACGACCAAATCCTGTACGTTGGAGATTCAGTCAATGATTTTTGTCCAGCTACAAAGATGAAAAGGTATTTTTTTTTTTTGGCCGTTCGATTTATTCGTCTTATATACTATATTTTTTTTTGTATTAGTAATGATGTGTTATTAGCACGAAAAGACTATCGACTTGACAAATTTCTTAACAGTCCTGTTTCTTCTAATGATGGGGATGATCTTGGCGGTGGTGATCGTTTGAAAAAACTGAATAAAGACAGGATCAATGCACGAATCGTATATTGGAAAGATGCTTCGGATGTATTGAATATTGTAAAAAATGAATTCGAACGGTCTGATATAGTTGAAAATATTTAAAAAAATTTACTTGTAATGAGCTATTTATTGTCGGATGGCTAGTGTGCAGCTTTGGGCAATAATGCAAGTTTTTTAAAATTATCAATTCATGTTTGAAATAGAAATTTTAAAATATACAAAAATCCTGGGAAATCAAAGGTGCTCATTATTATACGATGTTTTATCTTCATTAGAGATGGAGAGAACAGAAATTTAGCGATGAAATCAAGTTGACTTGGGAATCTTTGACCGTCATTAAATCAAGCGTTTGTTTCTACCATTATTGTTTCCGTCAAAAATGTTACAAATAATTGAATATTGAAGCTGATGTCGAACCTTATCAAGGCAAAAGAACAAAGTAATTGACCTGTGTCGCGAACGGCAATTATTTACCTAATTTCGATTGTAAAATTGCATTGGCAAGTTCAATAAACTTAGAAATCGATTAATTCCCATATTTGTATTTCTTTAACAATTACTCTGCAAATTTATAATATCATGTCGTATAGTGAAAAAAAGAAACTATTAGTAAAAAAAGGTAAAAGGGCGGTATTTTGCATGGCGAATTACAGTTTATTGAGCATATCATGCAAGCTCCTGATTAGTAAATGTAAATGAACATACATTTATCCTTATAGCAAATATATTTATCTGTCCCACAAATTATAAAGTCACAGATCACACGATAACAGGTTTTGCAGCAAGCACCTTTGCTCGCGGATATATTGACATATGCGGACAATCAGGCGGTCTGGGACAGTTAATCAATACACGTAATCTTACAGCAAGATCAGGTACTTATTGAGCACAAGGTCAGCTGTCGTGGGAAGTATTGTTCTGGATTGATTACCGTGAGAAAATTCTAATTATCCGCTTCCATTGTCTTTTATCATAGGAAAAATGACGATGATCGTGCGAATTTTTTATATTATTTTAAAATAATAGATAATAGCTATATATTGTTACAATCATCTTTGAATTGATATAAATACAGTCCTGGGAAAACATGGGAGATAACGATCCCGGAAACACTACGCCAAAACAAGTTGAAAATGACTTCATACACAGATAAAGGTGTTAAGCCAGATCTTGGAGTTTATGAGGGTTTTGGTAAGAAAATATTTAAGGGTATTTTACAGTTTATGCGTTTGAATTCATCATTATTTATTTTGATTTTTAGATTACGTTGCCTTTTGGGTTGGGAATGCAAAACAAGGTAAGAAACATTGGTCGTACAAAGTATTTTATTCAAAATTGATTTAATTTATGTTCATATCATAGCTGCATCTTATTATACGACAAGACTCGGATTTAAGCATATTGGATATAGTGGATTAGAGACAGGCGAACGAGAAATTGTGTCGCATGTTGTTAGACAAGGAAATATCACATTCATGTTTCAGTCAGCATTAAATCCGGGTAATGAAATATTTGGAGATCATCAAACCACACATGGTGATGGAGTTCGAGATGTTGCGTTTACAGTTGATAATTGTCATGGAATATTCAAATATGTTGTATCACGTGGTGCTAAAGTAATCAGAGAGCCTTGGGAAGAAAGTGATGTAAACGGTGTAGTTGTTATGGCAACAGTTGCAACTTATGGTGATACAGTTCATACTTTTGTTCAGCGAAATTCTTATAAAGGAGATTTCTTGCCGGGATTCAAAAAGTTGTCTTGGCACGATCCTTTAGAGTCTACTTTACCTGAGGCCGGACTAAAATGGTTGGATCACGTAGTAGGAAATCAACCTGATTCGGAAATGGTTAAAGTTGCCGAAATGTAAATTATTAATTTAAGTTAATTTTAATCTGATCGAACAATTAAAGTTTAATCTATATCTATTGATATATAGGTATGAAAGGATTCTCGGATTTCATCGTTTCTGGTCGGTTGACGATAAGCAAATCCATACTGAGTTTTCTTCTCTCCGATCTATTGTAATGGCTGATTATGATGAAGTTATAAAAATGCCCATAAACGAACCTGCTCCCGGAAAGAGGAGATCGCAGATTGAAGAATTTGTTCAATATTATGGTTCGATTTTTTTATTCATAACCTTTAATTCTCGTTCTCGAATAATCGATATAACGAATAATAAATAGGTAGCGCAGGGGTACAACATATTGCACTCAGAACTGAAGAGTAAGATCAATCAATCTTGATTCTAAATAAACGCGATGATCAAGCTCTAATTTCTCTGTTCTTTAAGTATAATTACAGCTGTTACTCATCTACGAGCGCGTGGCTGTGAATTCCTTTCCGTTCCTGCGACATATTATGAAGATTTGCGACGACGACTTGCAACTTCTAGTGTTAAAGTCACTGAAGAACTTGAGGTTTTAGAAAAATTGCACATCTTGATTGATTTCGACGAGGAAGGTTATTTGTTACAGGTAGTTTTAAAGTTTATCTTACACCGATATTGTATTGATAATTGATGAAGCTATATCTTTTATATTTAGATTTTCACCAAACCAATGCAAGATCGACCAACTTTATTCCTAGAGGTTATTCAACGAAAGAATCATCGAGGTTTTGGTGCCGGTAATTTCAAGGTATGATAAATTGTTGATTTTGAGAAAATTTATCTTTGATGATATATTAACTGGAATCTCAATAATGAACAGGCTTTATTTGAAGCCATTGAACGAGATCAAGAGGCACGAGGAAATTTGTGAATTATATATAATTTATTTGCTCTCGATATCTAGATCAGAAAAATTAATATAGATAATATAATGATAATATTGATTATGAATAATAAATTTATAAATTTTTCAACATAAAAAAAAATCTGTATTCTTTTGACGTTGATTAATGTTTCCTTTTCGCGCGAATTCAAATTATACTTTATTGAAAATCTGATATTTGTGGGACTAGATTATCTGCATTGAAAAATTTATTTGAAATTTTTTAACGTCACATAAAATCCCCTCATGTCTTTTCTTCGGCTTTTATCCCATGTACGTACTGCTCCTTACAGACAGTTTTCGTCTACTACTTTTCGAGCATCTTCAGTTTATGATGAAACTGTGAAAAATATGATTTTGGCAAAAGATACGAGAGTAATTTGTCAAGGTTTTACTGGAAAGCAGGTATACAGAAATTTGTCAAACTTTACTTGGGAACTTCTATAACTTAACAACTGTTAAAATTTATCAATAGGGCACTTTTCATTCACAGCAAGCGATCGAATATGGCACCAAGCTTGTGGGTGGTGTTTCACCAGGAAAAGGTGGCAAGCGCCATTTAGGGTTGCCGGTATTCAATAGTGTCAGAGACGTTAGTTAATCGCTGTTAAATATTGTATATATGAATTAAATGTTTAATGAAGTTCTAAAAAGATAATAAATATTTCACCTGTTAATTTTATCGATTTTGTAGGCAGTTCGAGAAGTCAAACCAGATGCGAGCGTAATTTATGTTCCACCACCTTTCTGTAAAGCTGCAATAATAGAAGCCATTGAAGCCGAAGTCCCTCTAGTAGTTACAATTACTGAAGGAATTCCTCAGCAGGATATGGTCCAGGTAGAAAAATAAAAGCCATGTATTTTACGAAAATAAATATTTATTGATTATACAAACTGAATTTTTAAAGGTTGTAAAAGTTTTAAAAACACAAAATAAAACGAGACTTATTGGTCCCAACTGTCCTGGGATTATCGCCCCAGACGCCTGCAAAATTGGCATAATGCCTGGTCATATTCATCAAAAGGGAACAGTTGGAATAGTGTCAAGGTCGGGTACTTTGACATATGAAGCTGTCCATCAAACTACACACGCTAATCTTGGACAAACTCTCTGTATCGGAATTGGAGGAGACCCTTTTAATGGGACAAATTTTATAGATTGCCTCAAAATTTTCCTGGATGATGAAAATACTAAAGGTAAATATTGATCTTTTTTAATTCATTATTAATTTTTCACAGTAATTTAATTTAATTTTTTTTTATTTTAGGAATTATATTGATCGGCGAGATTGGTGGAACAGCGGAGGAAGAAGCAGCAGAATATTTAAAACAATACAATCTAACTCGTAGTCAACCCAAGCCAGTCGTGACATTTATTGCAGGACTTACCGCACCACCTGGCCGTCGTATGGGTCATGCCGGTGCTATTATCGCTGGCGGAAAAGGTGCCGCAACCGATAAGATTAAAGCATTGGAGAGTGCAGGTACAATTGTATCGAGAAGTCCTGCAAAACTTGGCGTTTTACTCCGAGAGGTAGAATATCAGTAAATTTTTTTTGCAAAATATAATTTATACTAAATTAAATCACTTTTATCCATAGGAAATGTTACGACTCAACTTAGCCTGAATTATTACATGTACACGTTGTAATTGTATTAATTTTCCGCTTTCCTATTTATTACGACAAGTTCATTATTAATTACTTGAAATAAAAGAATTTCTCTATTCCATAGACAACAATGTAAAGACCTTGACAGATTCCTGTAAACGTATATAAAAAAATAATTTATTTTGAATCGAAGTGATTTTTCGTTCTAAATTGGACTTGAAAGCTTATTTTCTAGAGAGAGAATAAAATCAATTTGAAAGGTCCATATCACTATCCTCTCCGGATTCGACATTATTATTTTGGTCTTTTCCTTCATCGTGGCTATGCAATTGAGATGTCTCATTTTTTGATGAAATCTCCACATTTTTAAAAGATGGAAGTGGGAGCTTAGCTAGATTTCTGTTCTGTTCAGATGAAACGAATGAAGGCTCGATGCCAGGAGGCAACGGTTCCGTATTACAATAGTGGATCATACTGTAACCATCAAATAAAGTGTTCATTTGCGAAAGGCTTTTAAGATGCAGCAGAAAATTCCAATAATTTATAGATGCTGTGTCTATTTTCGAACTATTATTACTATACCGAGAATCTGTGTATGTTGTTATCGGTGAATATGCTTTTAAGTCCAGTCCTGGATAGTTGACTAGTGGCACATTTTTTATTCTCTTGCTGCTTTGACATGATGAAAGAAATTTATTACGATCATCGTCATTTTCCTCATCAAGCTCTCCTTCTTCTTTATCACTCTGATCATCATTTTTATCTGATGATAATAGATCCTGAGAGGAAGATTCATTGTCTATTTGAGATTTATCAAAGGCAATTGCCATTTTAATTTCTTCATCTACGCCATAAAACTTCATTGATGATGCGTCCCATGCATCATTATATTTCCGTAGATTTTTTAATGCTCGTAAAGGGTCTATACGATTTATGATTATTACAATTTATTAATTACTATTAACTAAAAACGTATAATTATGAAAAGTTACCGACCTTGACCCGCTTCATATCCAAGATAACCAGGAGGATAACCAAAAATACGCATATTACAATAATAAGGTGGTTCTTCGCCTGAATCTAGTATGCCAAGAGCGTCTTTTAAAGTATCAGATATTGTTCCAGGGACAAAATTTTCAATAAGAGACCGTTTTTTAATTTCAAGGTAATATCTAGTGAATTGAGTATTATTACTAATATTATCGCTTGGATTTTCTTCTTCATATTTTTCACGATTAATTCCTATTGTCTCAATGTCTTTTGGTAATGGACACATCTGAAATTTATGATAGGTTGAGCCACAATTGAAACATTTTTTCCTTAAATCAAGTAAGAAATCATTAGCCAACACTTTCGAAAATAATGTAAATAAATAAAAGGATAACTTACCCATTATTTATAAAATTATCCGAATCTTTAGAAGTATTTGAGTCTGCATCAAGTTGATTGGATTCTCCTAAAGAGCCGATTACAATGTCGGTTGCACGTTCATACTCTGGGATTTCACTTATTTCTTCTGGAAAAGTTGTGGTTCGATTTTTCTCAAAGATAAAATGAGGTTTTATATCTTTTATTGTTTTCGTTTCCTCGAGAATTTCTGATTTTTCACAAATTGTCTCTGCTTCCTTTTTTCGCGGTAACATCGATCGATAAGGAGAAAAACGTGAAGCATTGTTCGTAGAATTCGTCATTTTAAAAAAGTTTGGCAACATTGATTGCGAGGTATTTGAAGTCATTATTCATATAAAGTTCTTTAGCAACAGGATGTTTGGCGTGATACACACTCCCACCGGAAATTTACGTCGATCATTTTATTAATTAAAATAAAAAGTAAATATCGAATATTGGTTCAAGTTTAAGAACCTACATCTTAATATGACGTGCTTTTCCTCTTGGCTTAACTACTTTGTCTACGCGTCTAGGTAGACTTAAAATTAAAGTCCGTAAAGTTTCTCCAGATCGATACCTTGCTTTCCTTTTTCAAATCTGGACATCCAAATATTCACAGAAGCTTAATCGGATTGAGGTCAGGACTTTGACCAACCCAATCTAAAACTTGAATGCTATGTATTGACATCCACCCAAGTAATATATGACATGGCATACCATCTTGGATATTGACAAGTCCAGAATACAAAATAATTTATGAGGATGTTGACATAGACATTTGAATTCATAGTTTCTTCTATTGGTATTCAACTTCATTTCAACTGAAACAACTTCAAAATATTACTTATTCTTATCTTGTTATTAATACTAAAATTAAATTGAATTTTATTAATAATAGTTTATCTAATTAAGAATTTACTCATATATTTTATCAAATTTCATTTATTATAAAAAATAATGATAATATATTTGATCAAGATTTGAATTTTATTTTTGATAATGATAATAATTTAAATTTAAAAAATCAAAATTTTTCAATTCTTAATATTGATAAATTAATTAATCTTACAAGAAATTTAAATGTAAATAATAAAATTTAGTCAGTAATAATTATTAATCATGATGATAAAGATTTTAATATTGATAAACTTATTAATTAATTTGGTATTTTTTTATATTAAATAAATTTTGATTTTATTTATTATATTTATTTATCTATTCAATTTTTTTATTATATTTATTTAGAAGTTTATTTATTATATTTATTTAATTTGTCTAATTTATCTATTTATTTATTTATTTATTTATCTATTTTTATTATTTATTTGTTTAATTTGTCTAATTTATTTATTTATCTATTTATTTAATTTGTCTAATTTATCTATTTATCTATTTATCTAATTTATTTACTTTATCTATTATATTTATCTAATATGAATTTTGAATTTTTTTTATTTTAAATTTGTATTTATATGATCACTTGACTAAAATAAATTTAATCAGCAAGTATAGGTATAAGAAATATAGAGTTAAGAGAGTTTTAATAGTCTATCTATAGTTAGATTCAATATTAATTACTTTTATAATCACTATATTCAAAGTATTTAAACTAGATTTATTTATATAAAAGATAACTTCTGGCTTTAAGCCTTTTATAAACTACTTAATATAATAAGTAACTGGATATATATATATTAGGTCAATTTTTTAAAGTAATATATAAATATCTTCTATATATAAAGTTATATTTTTATTCATTTCTTGTATTCTTAATCTTAACTATTATTATCAAGCTAGAATTTAGATATTTATTTTAAATTAGGTAACAAAAATTTAATAGAATGAGATATTATTATTATTACTATTCTAGCTAATAGATCAATTATTATTTATTAATTTTCTTTGTTAGAACTAAGTAACTATATTTTCTTTCAAGTAAATAGATTCTATCTTGACTTTTTTTAAATTTATAGTATAATTAATATTTACTAAGCATTTAAATTCTTTATTATAAAAGAGAAGTGATATTATTAATAGTTTAATCTATCTATTCTATTGGATTTACATTGCTTCTACTAATAGAATGAGAATATTTATTAATACTTGAACTGTATATTCTGCTATTTCTTCTTCTTAATTTGATTATGATAATAATAAGAGTAAATTTAAGATAATAAATTATTAGATTTCTTCTTCTGATTCTTTTCTTTTTGTATTTTTAGATTGAACTAGAGCTGTACTTCTGTATAAATTAATAAAAAAGATATTGGAAATTAATACTAAAGTAGATAATAATAAGACTGGTATGAGAATTTGAACTGAAGTATTAATTAAGATACTAATATTCAATTACCAGATATAATATGATTTTTATTAATTAAATATAGTAATTTTCTCATATAAATTATGGATAATACTAACTATTTCAGTAAAAATAAGAGTTAAGTACTTTTGAAATCAAAGTTATAATTAATATTTTGTTGATAAAATATTTTCTCTTCCTATATTTGTTATAAATAGACTATTAACTAATTGATATAGTTCTTTTTCTTGTGATCTAACTAAACAAGATAGATTAAAAATATTGACTAATCTCTGAAACTATCTTTTTATTTCAATATTAATTGATTTTGTAAGATTCAGCTTGAATTAAATTTATTTATTTTTACTTTAATCTTCAATTTGCTCTTTACAGAAAGAGTATTAAAAAGATTATTATCATTTTAAGTTTATATATATATAAATATTTTAAAATGATAAGAATGATTATATTTATAGCAATTATAATTTTGAAAGATTATATGATTAATTATCTTCTTAATAAGATAATTTATATAAGTTTTACTTTTAACAAAATTACTCTCTTAATAGAGCAAAAAGAAAATAAAAATAAGATATGTAATAAAATATATGTATTTATTAAAGAAAATATTAATTAATTATTCTTAACTCAGTAATTAATTACTTCTATCAAACTTAATTATTCTGCTTGGTTATTTCTTAACTCTCTATATATAATATTTTCTCATTATGCTAATTATAAATTATTTTTAATATAATATTTTACTTAATTTATTTAAGAATAAGTAGAATTTTAAAAGAATAATTATAAAGAATATTTTTTTAAATTAAATACATGATAATTAAGAATTTAAATTAGTGAAATATTAAAGATATTTAAGATCAAAGTGAGAAAAGAAAGAAAAATTAATAATAATTAATTAAGAAATTATTAATTTAATTAAATTATAAATTAAATATGATATACATAACTAAATTAATAAAAGAATAAGACTAAATATGAATAATAAAATAAATTAAAAATAGAATTAAAAATAAATTAAATTAATTAATATAAATTTCTTATATATCTAATTTAATAGTAATTAGTAATTATACTATATATTGCAATTATATCATATACTATATTATATCTATTATGTTATATAAATAGATGATTGATTATAATATAAAATATTTAATAAAATATAAGTTAATATAAATTAATATAAAAAGGTTTATATTTTAAATAAATATTAATAAATTATTTTTTCAAAATAAAATTTTAATTCTATCTTATTTAATTAAATTATTAAATATTAAAATTTATTTAAATATAAAAATTTTTATTATATATCTTTATAAAAAATTTTTACTAATATAACTTTTTTTAATTATTATTTCTTAAATTTTATTATATAAAATTTGATTAAAATCAATATAAAAATTATAATTTAATTACTTAACTTTAAATTTTAATATCTTTATAACTACTAATTTAATTTTTATAGAATTTAAAATATAATCCAGTGCAAAAATACAGATACATGAACATACTATATATAAAT